CCAGATGCCAACCGGAGCTCTCCTATATGAGGTGTCTCCCAGTCAGGAGGCATAGGTGTCAGGGACCCACTTAAGGAGCAGCCTGTCTCTTAGCAGAGCTTGAGCGCTGTGCCCAGAGATCCACTGCTCTCTTCAGAGCTGGCAGGCAGAAACATTTAAGTCTGCTGAAGCTGTGCCCACAGCCACCCCTTCCCCTAGGTGCTTATCCCAGGAAAATGAGAGTTTTATGTATCAGCCCCTGACTGGGGTTGCTGTCATTCTTTGAGAGATGCCCTGCCCAGAGAGAAGGAATCTAGAGAGGCAGTCTGGCTGTAGTGGCTTTGCTGAGCTTTGGTGGGCTCTGCCCAGTTTGAACTTCCCAGCAGCTTTGTTTACACGCTAAGGGGAAAACCACCTGCTCAAGCCTCAGTAATGGCAGACCCCTTCCCCCGACTAACTGAGCATCCCAGGTCAACTTCAGTCTGCTGTACTGGCAGTGAGAATTTCAAGCCAGTGGATCTTAACTTGCTGGCCTCCATGGGGGTGGGATCCACTGAGCTAGACCACTTGGCTCCCTGGCTTCAGCCCCCTTTCCAGGGGATTGAATGGTTGTGTCTCGCTGGCATTCCAGGTGCCACTGGGGTATGAAAAAAAACTCCTGCAGCTACCTCAAGTGTCTGCCCAAATGGCTGCCCAGTTTTGTGCTTGAAACCCAGGGCCCTGGTAGTATAGGCACCAGAGGGAATCTCCTGATCTGCAGGTTGTAAAGACCATGGGAAAAGCATAGTATCTGGGCCAGAGTGCACTGTTCCTCATGGCATGGTCCCTCAACAGCTTCCCTTGGGTGGTGGGGGAGTTCCCCAACCCCTCAAACTTCCTTGGTGAGGTACCATGCCACCCTGCTTCAGCTTTCCCTCCATGGGCTGCACCCACTGTCTGATCAGTCCCAATGAGATGAGCCAGGTACCTCAGTTGGAAATGCAGAAATCATCTCCCTCTGCATCGATCTCACTGGGAGCTGTTCCTATTCAGCCATCTTGCCAGCCACCCCAGAAATCCATTTTTAGCAAAAACATTTCTATAGCCAAGAAGATGATTCACAGTGGCCATGTTTGGTTTACCTAGTCACAACTAATTTTCTACAGGAATAATCCTGGCAAAGTGTTTTTTGTATTTCTTCCATATGAAAAGTAATCCCCAGCAATTGTTCCCAGTTGTTATTTTACTGAGACTAATATGATTGTCTGTTCAGTATTTGTCTCTTCCCCATGGTAAACTGTAAACTTAGTGAAATGAAGAACTATTTTGTTGACTGTTACATCCCCCACTCCTAGTACTTAGCAGTTGTGTAAATATTGCCTAAATGACCTAAGCCTCTAGTCTAAAGCTCTCCAGTGCACCTTGCAGTCTGCTAAAAGAATCTTCTTGCTGGTTAGGCTGATAATTCATTCAGATCTCATCTGAGACATACATTGTCTTGTGTTATGGTCTGAATTGTGTCCTCCAAAATTCATTTGTTGAAGTCTGAGTACCTCAGAATGTGACTATCTGAAGACATAGAGTTTAAAAATGATTAAGTTGAAGCGAGGCCATTAGGATAGGTCCTAAATCCAATCTGACTGGTGTCTTTGTATGAAGAGGAAATTGGTCCACACTGAGAGACTCTAGGGATGACAGGCATAGAGGCAAGGCCATGTGAGGACAGTGAGAAGGTGGCTCTCTGCAGGTGAAGGATACAGGTCTCAGAAGAAACCAAACCTGCTTGCTCCTAGACTTAGTTGCCAGAAGTGTGAGAAAATAAGTTTCTGTTGTTTAAGCCACCCTATCTGTGATGTTTTGTTATGGTAGCCCTGAGAAACGAAGATACTGTGATCCCAGGCAAGTTTCTTCAACAACGAAACACTCAAGTTTCTAGCAGTAAAGTGGGAATGCCACCAACATCTTGCTGTTGTTGAGCTATTTAAGAATTGACCTGGTAATGGTTTTCAACTTAGTTTGTTGAGTGAATGACTAGTGCAGGAGGGGATGGGAGTGTTATGGGTAAAGTTGAGATGCAGAACGTGATGGATCCTAGAGAAGCTGCCTAAGCCCCTCCAGTCTGGGAGAAGACAAGTTGGGAAGTTCTGTAACTGCTGCACCAACTCGGCCTAATGATGGCACATGGTTCTTTAACAGTAATAGCAGTAAGGAAAGGAACTGCTGCAGAATTTGATCTAAATGAACTTCTATTTTTTTTCTGCCAGCAAGCTGGGTAAAAACAAATAGCCAACATAGGCATTTGAGTACTGTAAGTACTTTTAAAACCAAAGCAAAGGCTGGGCACAGTGGCTCACACCTGTAATCCCAGGTCTTTGGGAGACAGGGGAGGGCAGATCACTTGAGGCCAGGAGTTCGAGACCAGCCTGGCCAACATGGTGAAACCTGGTTTCTGCTAAAAATACAAAAATTAGCTAGGGATGGTGGTGCATACCTATAATTCCAGCTACTCAGGAGGCTGAAGTAGGAGAACCACTTGAACCCAGGAGGGATAGTTTGCAGAGAGCACCACTGCACTCCAGTCTGGGCGACAAAGTAAGATTCCATTTCCAAAAAAAAAAAAAAAAAGAACCAAAATTCTTGAATATGAAATACTCTTTTGAAGAAATAGCAACTAAGGAGTTAGCTCCTTAAGATGCTGTCTAAAGGGCTCTCCCTAAAGACTCTGAATAGTAAAATCCACATCTTTTGGAATAATAGCAAGCTCTTAAATAGCACTTCCTGTCTACATAGCACTGTTCTAAACACTGCATGTATTAGCTTATTTATTCTTCAAAATCCTTTTTAAAGTAGGTACTATTACTCCCACTTTACTAATGAGGAAATAGGCACAGAAAAAAAAAAATTAACCTGAACTTGCCCAAGGTGATAATAGCTTGTAAGTGCAGAGCCAGTATTTGAACTTTCGTTGCATCTATGGAGATTCCTAAAAACTGACCAAGAAATCCAATATGATGGGAATTTTACTAATCTCCTAAGAGAAATATGCAGTAACTCTTGCTTACAGCTTCTGCGGGAAGAATTATCTCACTAAACTCAAACCTCAGTGTGTTTTTAATAACTGGAGGGCCAAACTTGGAACAGATCAAGACATCTATAAAAATTGATTATAGTCAATAGTTGGAATAACTCATCTTTTTCTAAGTGTCACCCTATCCTTTAATTTCTTATTTTGCATTTTCTCTCCTTTCCTCTTGGTTCTTCCTATCTACCTCTTCGCTGAAATATTCAGTTGAACTATATGAAATTGCTGATATTCAACCATGTTTGACCTATAAAAATGACAGCTTCATTTGGTTCAAGCTAATGTAAGAATCAAATTTTCTATATTAAATTAGAAATCTAAAATTATAGTCATCATAATGCATATTGTTTCATTAATTATAATACTCAAAGATGGTTTCTTACAATGTACCAATTGAGCAGAATTGACAAATTATCATGTGCTTCAAATACATAGGGTACTTTCTACCTGAAACAAAGGTTTAAAAAGATTCATATAATTAAAAGTAGAAAACAAAACTTTATTTGATGAAAACTTTTTAAAAGTTCCAGTATGAAGTAACAAAATCAACAACCTACAAATCTCTTTCAGTCCTTTGCATTTCAAGCAAAATATTCTCTTCAGAAAAAATGACCATTTCACAATATATATCCCCTTCTGTAGGCTAGGCATGTATGAGTGAACAAATGGATATAAAATTCAAGAAAAAAATGAAATATTTAAAAAATAAAAATCTGAACCTTTTCCTTGAGGTGTATTGCGATATGGTTACCAACATATTCAGCACCTTGTAATCCCCAAGTTACTGATTTGAGTCCTGGAACAAGACCCTAAAATTAAAGAACGAGATTCTAGTCATTTGTGAGTCACAGGTTGGCAGCAGAAGAAAAACTGACAGCAGCTAGAGGAGCTCAAATATATGAAATTCACACTTCTGAAATATTTAATACTCACTTCAAACAGCTAATTGTCTATATGATTTTAAAAAGGAAACAGCTTGGAGTCTGGAAGATGGATAGTTGTCCTCTGAGTAACTGGACATTCGCTATATACCTTCAGTACTGTTATCAACATATGTCTCCATATTGAGAGAGCAATCAAATATCAGGAGCTCCCATTTCACAGATAACCTTGGGTATAGAAACTCAAGGTGCCAATTGTTCTTTTACTTTATCCCTAAGGCAAATGTCATCTACACTTATAAAAGTCTTTCGAGACCTAAGGTTCTTGTCAATATTTCATTATAACAAACCACGTCAAGAAAGTCAAATATATCTGATTCAATGCACTGTCATCCATTTGCACTAATAGAAGGATCAGTTTCTTGAGTCTTTTCTCTTTTACCTCTTAAGACTCCTGGGAATGTAACCAGGAAACAAATGAGGCAAGCAAGATCCTGCTATAAATCAAAGAATTTCTAGACTCATGAAATAATTTTAAATGCACTTTAACCATGAGTGAAAACTAGAAATTGATAGCCCCAATTCTTTTTAAGGGCAGATGATATTTTACATCTCGATCTTAGGAATAAAACTGTCTGTAACAAATGTCTAGGGATCAAGTCATAAAAAAGTCACTTCATGCTTAAGTATTTCAAATCCTGATGCTATTAAGTGAATTTGTGTTTGACTGATTTAGACAGCAGTTTTATTTTGTGAAATTTTCTGTTCAGATTATTTATATGCTTTTAACTTTAAAAGGACAATAATCTGTGCTTATCTGCTTATATATCTGAAATTACCCATCATAACCATATACAAGCTTAGTGTCTGGAGAACTACAAGGTTATTTTTTATATCACAAGATCTGCTCCTATTTAATGTAGACTTACTAAAATCTTCTACTGTCTTCATACAGTCCTGGATATAACTCATTACTTATATTCATATATAATGCCAGTTGTGCAGTACCAAGCATAGTCAATCATTCCCATCGTAATCACTGTAGCCCTGGTAACCACTGTTCCTTCTCTCATGGATACTAGACATCTTTTTCCAGGCTGAGTCCTGATGGAAACTAGCACTGAAAGACCGGCCCAGACGCCCATGCTGCTTCTTGGAAATATTGTCTTCACTCTCAGATTTGGCAATTCCCTGGGCATGTGTTGGAGGTTGTGATTCTTGTCTAATGGTTCCAAATGGAAAGTTCCAAAGGCCAAATCTTTGCCAATTAAGTTTCTGGAATGCTATGATGCAATGCAAATTTCCCCCAACCTGAAAAGAAAAAAAAGTTGGGTCAAGAAGATAAAGGGAAATTAATTGTACAAATTTATAGGTCCCTATGAACTCTCTTGTTTCTTTTTTTACTTCCCTTGCCTCAAAATGGTACTTTCCTTCCAGGCATCATCAGAGCACATTATCCTGCACCTTTTCTGACAGCTGCCTTTACAAAATATAATAATACGAAATATAGTGATGCCCACAGGAGCCAAAACACCTTCCTCTGCATGCCTCTCTACTGCTCACTCCCAACACATACTAGAAAATTTCCCCATCTGCCTAATTCAAACACCAACATCATTCCTCTTCCTCTCTCTCCTATTCTTCATAAAGTCATAGGAGTAAGATTGTATCAATGATGTATCATTTCCTGAGAGCCTCCCCCAAAGCCTTGTTTGTACATAGGATTCTGCCACAAGGCCACAGTTAACCTGGCCCAAGCTGGGCCAAGACTATGGAACTGAACCCAAGACAGATCAGTCTCAGTCCAGACTGTTCATCTAAAAAAGAGACATAAATTGAAAGATAACGATCTTAAGAAGAAAGTAATCAAACAAAGGAGAGCTAAGAACAACATATAGCCCCCAAAAGAGTGAAACCGACTACCAGATACGTGGCCCCTGCTATCATTCCAATACCTGTTACCATTCTTTTATGGCACCAGGTTATACTTTATACTTTAAAACAGGTTATGTTTTAAAGACAGCCCTGTGTCCTTATAATAATTTTCACTCTTCCATCAAATGTAGGTTTCTGTTATTGACAACCTGAAGAGTGCTAAGTAAAACGCTGCATTTTGGTCAGCTGGGAAATGCCTTCAAACACAATGGTGTTGTTCTTCTTACCTTCTTTGTTTTTCGATACTGCAGTCCTCTCTCTAAGTGCCGGATATCCAGGTATTCTGGATTTTGAGTGTTTAGATCAGTAACAATATCTGCCCATCTATAGTTAAGAAGAAAGGATAAAACACAGTTTTCATTAGGTCCAAAGTTATCATTGAAATGGAATTTTTCATGAGCAAATTGCTGCAATATTATCACAGCAATAACTGGCAGTAATTCTCTTATCTCAGCATCATCTCATCTACTAAACTGTAATAACTTCTTGTTTTATGACAATTCTGTTTATCCAACCATCGCCAAGGTTCTCAGTATACAATTGGTTATTCTTCCTATAGAATAAATAAATACCAGCATGTTAGATGGCATCCTGTAGGCTAAAGCAACAACATGCTATATCTATATCTACTTTTCAGTCACAGTCAAGTCCACTTTTAAAAGAATTTAAAGTTAATGTGTCTTCTTTAGCAGATAACACAATTGTGCAGAAAATTCAAGGGAATTACAAAACAACTACTAGAACTAATAGGATTTGGTAAAGATGTAAGATTCAAGGTCTATACAGCAACATCAATTGTATTTTTGTATTCGATCAGCAAATAATGAGGAAGTGAAATTTTTTTTAAAAAATCTATTTACAATAGTATCAAAAAATATAACGCATGGAGGAAAAAATGTTATTGTAATGTCTTTTTTAAGTTTTATTTCCATTGTTTTTGGGTTACAGATGGGTTTTGGATACATGAATAAGTTCTTTAGTGGTGACTTACGGGATTTTAGTGCACCCATCACCCAAGCAGCATACACTGTACCCAATATGCAGTATTTTATCCCTCACCCCATCCCAGACTTCCTTCCAGAGTCCCCAGAGTCTGTTATATCATTCTTATGCCTTTGCCTCCTCATAACTAGGTTCTCCCACCTAAAGTGAGAACATACAATATTTGGTTTTCCATTCCTGAGTTACTTCACTCAGAATAATGGCCTCCAGCACAGTCCAAGTTGTTGCAAAAGACATCAGTTCATTCCTTTTTATGGCTGAGTAGTACTCCCTGGTATATAAATATCACATTTTATTTATCCACTCATTGGCTGATGGGCACTTAGGTTGATTCCACATCTTTGCAATTGCAAATTGTGCCACTATAATCATGTGTCTGCCTGTGTCTTTTTCATATGACTTCTTTTCCTTTGGGCAGATACTCAGTAGTGGGACTGCTGGATCAAATGGTAGATCTACTTTTAGTTCTTTAAGGAATCTCCATAATGTTTGCCATAGTGATTGTGCTAATTTACATTCCCACCAGCAGTGTAAAAGAACACACTGAAAAACGGTGTTTAACAAAAGACATAAAACTCCATGCTGAAAAATTTTTTTAAATGCTGAGAGAAATTAAAGCTCTAATTAAGTAAAGATATGGTCCATGTTGTTACGATGTCAATTCTCCCAAAATTAAACTTGCCAAGACTGGTGTCAAAATCCTGGGCTGAACTGATCCGCCCACCTAAGTGCTAGGATTACAGGCATGAGCCACCGCACCCAACCTTAATTATGAATTCCATGGATTCTATCCTAATCAAAATCTCAACAAGCTTTTTAGCCAAAAGACAAATTCTAAAATACTTACGGAAAAGCCAAGGTCCCAGAAGAGCCAAAACAATCTAAGAAAAATTCAGAGGATTCATGTGATCTAATTTCAGGATTTAGTATAAACTATAACCATTGAGTGTGTGGCATCGGTGAAGGACAGACAAACAGATTAGTGGGACAGAGTCCAGAAACAACCCATATATGGGCAGTTAGTTTTCAGCAGAGGCACCAAAGAAATAGTGAAAGGAAAATCTTTGTAAACAAATGGTGCTGGAATAACTAGATAAAACATGGGGGACAAAATCAAAGTTGAGCTCTACCACATACCACACACAAAAAGTAGTTAAGGCAGGCATGGTGAACATCTGTAATCCCTGCCCTTTGGGAGGCCAAGGAGATAGGCTTATTTGAGCCCAGGAGTTTGAGACCAGCCTGGGCAACACAGCAAGACTCCCGTCTCTACAAAAGAAATGGATCAAAAATCTAAATATAAACTCTATAAAGCTTCTAGAAAAAAACAGGAAACCATTTTGGAGGTCATGGGGTAAGCAAAAATTTCTTAAAGAGGCACCAAACACATAAAAGAACAAAACTGATAAAAATGTATTTAATTTAAATTAATTAATTAGAATCAGAACTTCTGTTCAATTTTACAAGCACTTTGGAGAACTTTCCCACAGTTTCTTGACTATACATCTATACTATAAATTGGCAATTCTAGTCCCAGGTATCTCCCAGAACAAAACATATGTCTTCTGAAAGACTTGTACAGCAGAAGACGACCTATCCATACAAAGGGAATGATTTGGCCATATAAAGGAATGAAGTTCTAATCCATGCTAAAACATGGATGACACTGAAAACACTGTATTAAGTGAAAGAAGCCAGGTACAAAATGCTACACGCTGTATGACACCATTTATACGAATGTCAAGAATAGGCAAATCCCAGCCAGGCGCATGCCTGTAATCCCAGCACTTTGGGAAGCTGAGGCAGGCAGATCATCGAGGTCAGTAGCGTGAGATCAGCCCGGCCAACATGGCGAAACCTCGTCTTTACAAAAAATACAAAATTCGCTGGGCATGGTGGTGTGTGCCTGCAATCCCAGCAGCTACTTAGGAGGCTGAGGCAGGAGAATCGCTTGAACCTGGGAAGCAAAGGTTCAGTGAGCTGACATCACGCCACTTGCTCTCCAGCCTGGGCAACAGAAAGAGACTCTGTCTCAAAAAAACAAAACAAACAAAAAAGAATAGGTGAATCCCTACAAGCAGAAAGTAGATCAGTGGTTGCCAGGGGCTCAGGGAATCCGGAGTGACTGCTAATGAGTATGGGGTTTCTTTCTGGAATGATGAAAACTTTCTCCAATTAGATAGTGGTGATTGGTGCACAACCCTGTAACTACACTAAAATCTATGGAATTGTACATTTTTTTCCCTTTTTTTGAGACAGTGTCTTGTTCTATCACCTAGGCGGGAGTGTAGTGGCATGATCGCAGCTTATTGCAGCCTCAATCTCCTAGGCTCAAGCAATACTCCTGCCTTTTCAATTTCTGTTTTACAGACTATGGTCTCATTATGTTGCCCAGGTTGGTCTAGAACTCCTGAGCTCAAGCAATCCACCCACCTCAGTCTCCCAAAGTGTTGGGATTATAGGCATGAGCCACTGCACATGATGGATGCAGTGAACTTTATGGTATATGTTAATTATATTTTAGTAAAATTGTCACGTAATTTTTTCAAGGCTTGTACATTAATGTTCCTAACAGCTTCATTCACAAGAGACCAAAACTCAAAGCAATCCAAATGCCCATCAACAGGAAAACGGAAAACAAATTGCAGCATGCTTATGCAACCGAATACTACTCAGCAATAAAAAAGTAATAAACTCCTGATACACATGACACAATGTCAGAATCTCAAAAATGTTACTTAAGATATTGACACAAGAGTAATACTGTATGATTCTGTTTACATTGAATTCAAGAATAGGCAATTTAAATCTGTAGTGACAGAAATCAGAAGACGGGCTTTCTACGGGGATTGACGGGAGTAAAGAGTGAGGGTATTTTCCATGGCAATGAATGTGCACCACATCCTATTTAGGTGCTGCTTATATAAGTGCATTTGTTTATCCAACTAATTATACACCACTAAGATCTGTGCATTTCACTGTATCTAAATGTTACCCCACTTAAAGAAAATAAAGGGAAATTAACATACTTTTTACAGTGAATGGCAGGGTGTTTTCTACTTGATTCTCCAATTAAGATCCAATATTCGACTTCCTGTGGTGAGAGAGGCCCCCTGCTAAATATGAAATACATTCACAGTAAGTTTCATAGGTACTCACTCCGAGTCTACTGCTTCAACTATATATTAATAAAAGGTATACTAGAGTGTATTCAAACACAGCATTCATTCAGCAAGAACCGACATTAGAGCTTAGGTAGGGGCAAATTTCAACAGGCCATTAAAGAGAACTCACAAATTAAATTTCAGCCTTAATCCTCTTTTCAAAATCTAGGGCTATAATATGTTTTAATATACCACCTCTAAGATTATAGGAGGCAAAAAAAAATCCTGGAATGCTACCAGCATATTTCCACTACTCTTCTCCTTTCACTATGAATTCAAGACATCTCAAAAGGCATCCTAAAAATAAAACCCTAATGCAATGGAGTCTTTAAACACACTGATGTCCTAATCCATCCCTGGGCATTCTAATTCAAATAGGCCTGGAGTAGAGCCTAGGGATTTATATAGTTTTTTTTTTTTAAAAAATCATGATTCTTCAGTACAGGCAGAAGTGAGGAACTCTCTTTTAAAGGGTACAAAGTTGGTTTAAAATCATGATTTATATTTGATAAATGTCTGAAATAAGGTGAACCTGCAGGGTGAAATCATAAAAGAAATACACAATACACCTCACATATTAGAAATTCTACCTCCAGAGAGATGAATAAAGCATTTCAGCAAGCGAGTTCCCGCTTGCTCCTCATTCACAAAACACAACTTCCAGCTTCCTGGTTCTCCCAGGTCATGCCAACGTGTCTCAGAATCCCTCTTCCCTAACCCTGAGGGGCCTTTGAGTGGGACTCCAAGGTCCCAAGGCCTCCAGCCCCAGATATCCCATCCAGACTGGGTGTGGTGGCTCACACCTGTAATCCCAGTACTTTGGGAGACTGAGGCAGTTGGATCACTGGAGCCCAGGAGTCCAAGACCAGCCTGGGCAACATGTTGAAACCCATCTTAAAAAAAAAAAAAAAAAAAATAGAAAAATTAGCCAGGTTAGGTGGTGTGTACCTGTAGTCCCAGCTACTCAGGAGGCTAAGGTAGGAAGATCACTGAGCCCAGGAGGTTGAGGCTGCAGTGAGCTATGATCTCACTACTGTACTCCAGTCTGGACAACAGAGAAAGACCTTGTCTCAAAAAAAAAAAAACAACCCATGACCAAGCCAATCCCTTTGCTCAAAGTATTTGTGGCTTGTGTTTTCACCAATTCTTTTTTTTTTTTTTTTTTAAAGAAAGGGTCTTGTTCTGTCACCCAGGCTGGAGTGCAGTGGCGTGATCTCAGCTCAAGCAATCCTCCGACCTCAGCCACCCAAGTAGCTGGGACGACAGGTACACACCAATATACCTGGCTAAATTTTGTATTTTTTAATAGAGACAGGGTCTCACTATGTTGTCTAAGCTGGTCTTGAACTCCTGCGTGCAAGCGATCCGCCTGCCTCAGCCTCCCAAAATGCTGGAATTAGGCCACTGTACCCAACCCACCAATTCTCAACTAGATACTTCTCCTTTGCTTAGAACCGTCCTGGTATTATTTCAACCCATCATAAGGAAAACAGGCTAAGCAGGAAACCATTAAAATTCAGTCACTTTCTCTTTCTTAGGGATAATCTCTTCCAAAAAGGTCCAAGTTTACCAGTCAAGTTATATAGTTAATAAAACAGAAACTCTGGATTAGGCAAAGAAAGTAATATAACCATGAAAGTCGTATAATTTCTGACATTATAAATAAAAATTGGCTCTTGAGCTTCCTTGCAATTAGGACAAAGGGGAACCAGATTCCATGTTTTTCACTTTAAGAAAGGAAGATGCTTTTTAATGTACTCAGTTGTGACAATCTTCTTGACACTAGATTCTGTAACACTTTGTTCATGTGGGACATTGGATGAGGCACTGAAACATAATCTGTAAAATCCTTTGCAACTGTTTCATAATAAGTGTAAAAATTACTTTTCAGGAATGGTGTGGTGGCTCACACCTGTAATCCCAGCACCTTGGGTGGCCCAGACAGGAGGACCACTTGAAGCCAGGAGTTTGAGACCAGGCTGCACAACATAGCAAGACCTTGTCTCTACAGAAAACACAAATTAAAAAATGTAATGAGCTGGGCATGGTGGTGCATGCCTGTAGTCCTAGCTACTCAAGAAGCTGAGGCAGGAGGATTGCTTGAGGCCAGGAGTCTGAGGCTACACTGAGCTATGACTACACCACTGCACCCCAGCCTGGATGACAGAGTGAGACCCTGTCTCTAAGGGGAAAAAAAAAGTGACTTTCCAAATGACTTTTTCCTATAATGACTGAACAATAGTAGCTAAATGGAAATTTTCAACAACACAATGCAATTCTGCAGAAGAGTAAGTCATAATATTTAAAGAACAGTCTAACTTGATGTCAGAAAAGCAGATCACCAAGCCTTCCAATTTCAGAGACTTCAAATATTTTTTAATATTTCTTAAAATGCACTTTCTAAAACATGTCAATGCTTACCTTAATGCTTTATTAGCTTTAACAGGGGTTGCTTCGAAGCCAATTGGACAAAAATAATGATTTTGGCAATGATAGATATAAGCCAGCGATTCATCTTTCAATCCCCGGGTTAACTTTGACAGGGCCCCTGAAGCTATTAAAATAAACAAACAAACAAACAAACTGAAAGCCCACAAAGCAATGTCCATGCTTTAGACGAAGGACTGGTTAAGGGCTTAAGGACAGAAAAGACATTACTTGAAACACACTGACACTGCTGGGGGAAAAACCAGAAGCTACTGATTGGTACAAAGAATGTTAATAAATGTATTGTTTTACCCTTTCAACACAGATAATCTCATTAGCAAACTAAAGAACTAAAATCTGTCCTCGCTTACCAAAACCTTCTAATAACATACACAGTTGTCTATGAAATTTAATTTGTCTGAAACCTAATACCAAGTGTATTCAGCAATGGTTTCAACTTTTCTGGTTATACACAGCTATCACTAAAAATTCTGAACAAGTATGTCCAATTTTAGCAAATGCATTTATAAACTATATACATATACTACTGTACCAATATTCTTTATAAAAGATATACAAATCATTGGAATTTAAAATTAGATTATAATACAGAGGTTCTAATATATATACAGTTTGTATATCCCAACTTAAAGACTACTGATATATATGAATAAAAATAAACTCCAGGTAATAAACAAGTTTCTAAAATGCAAACTTCTCCTACTAATGAAACGGCCAAATAAAAACGGCTTCCCGGAGAATCATCAACTGGCCTGAGTGCTGGGAGGATGGGGTTGGGCCTCGGGAAGTGCCTGCTGTTTGCAGTGGGGGAGAAGAACCGGCCTCTCCTGTCCCTGTGTGGTAACCTGCGATTCAATCTGTGAGATGGAGCCTGTTAGCAGGAATCCTCCTTGCTTTGCTGAGTTTCTTCCTTTTCACCCAATAAATTCGGTTCCCCCTCACCTTTCAAAGTGTCTGCGAGCCTAATCTGATGTGATAAGAACCCAGTATTTTCTACAATACTAACACACACTTTAATCTTTCCACATAACTTATAGAGGCTAGCGGAGTACCCTTCACAAGCCATGTGACAAGATAACATCTCTACAGAGACAGGCTGGTAGTACCACAACAACCTCTTATGCCCTCTCTTCTTCATATATTTGCCATAACTGAAATAGTTGTCAATTTCAAAAGTATGATCATAAGAAATGACTTTTTACCAGCACTTAGTACTCAAAGGCATTCACTGAGGTTTCATTAACTTGCATCTCCTGGAAGAAGCTAAATTATTTATTAACAAACAGCCCACTAAAACTAGAAATCCTAAAAATAGATGAAGCAGATGACAGCTTGCAAGTCATAGTTTCAATGATTGACTTTTTGGCCACTGAAATAGCTGAAGACCACTGAGAACAGCAGGTCCACGCTGCAGCAGAGAGCCAAGGAGTGATGCATGTTCCTCAAGCGCATTAGCAGGGAAGACGGAACAAGTAACTTTAATAGACGGTGGAATAAGATAGTGCCACAAAAAGGGTACAGAATTCAAAGGAGAAAGAGCACATCAGGTTTGAGGAGTCAAGAAAGGGTAGCATTCAAGATGAAACTTAATGAGTGTCAGGATTTCAACAATCTAGACAGAGGAAAGAGCATAACGAGAAAACAAAACCACTGGAGAGGGAATATACTCAGAAAACAGCCAGTGATGTCGTCTGCGGAACACAGGGTACGATGGTATAGAGAAGTCTACCATGGGACACCCCAACAATTTCAGCCCAATATCAGAAAAAGATCACCCTCTGAAATAAAAGATAGTAAACACAGCATTTATTTGTTTATTTTTATTTTTATTTTTTTGAGACAGAATCTCGCTCTGTCACCCAGGCTGGAGTGCAGTTGTACAATCTCAGCTCACTGCAACCTCTGCCTCCGGGTTCAAACGATCCTCATGCCTCAGCCTCTCGAGTAACTGAGATTCCAGGCACTTACCACCATGCCCAGCTAATTTTTGTATTTTTAGTAGAGACAGGGTTTCACTATGTTGGCCAGGTTGGCCTTAAACTCCTGATGTCAAGTGATCAGCTCATCTTGGCCTCCCAAAGTGCTGGGATTACAGGCGTGAGCCACAGTGCCAAGACAGTAAATATGGCATTTAATACGTTAAGGTAGTCATCCAAGAAAGTAATTCTGTGTATGAGAAGACACAAATGTATTACTGAGGGAAGGTAAATTTAGAAGTTCAGTCTGTATTCCAGTATGATCTGGCCGGGATTGACCAACATAAAGAAACCCCATCTCTACTAAAAATAAAAAATTAGCTGGACATGGTGTCTTATGCCTGTGATCCCAGCTACTTGGGAGGCTGAGGCAGGTGAATCACTTGAATCCTGGAGGTGGAGGTTGTGGTGAGCCAAGATCGCGCCACTGCACTCCAGCTTGGGCAATAAGAGCAAAATTTCATCTAAAAAAAAAAAAAATCTGGCCGGGCGTGGTGGCTCATGCCTGTAATCCCAGCCCTTTGGGAGGCCAAGGCGAGTGGATCACCTGAGGTCAGGAGTTTGAGACCAGCCTAACCAACATGGAGAAACCTTGTCTCTACTACAACTAAAAAATTAGCCAGATGTGGTGGCACATGTCTATAATCCCAGCTACTTAAGAGGCTGAGGCAGGAGAATCCTTGAACCCAGAGGTGGAGGTTGCGGTGAGCTGAGATCATGCCATTGCACTCTAGCCTGGTCAACAAGAGCAAAACTCCCATCTCAAAAAACAAGAGTGTTTTTAAACAAACACTTACTCTTTCACTTGCTTTCACTGAACTGCTATGTATTCAGTTTACAGGGTGCAAAATTAAAAAACTTTTAATGAACATAATTGACAGAATCATTATTATACCTTCTAATAACTAGAAAATGACCATGAAAATCTCTTGGACCAGAAAAAGGTTTGGCATATATTGTGGAAATAAACATTCAAGAACTATTAAAGACAATGCCAAATTATGCATTTTCTTTTCATGGCAAATGAAGACACCTCAAATGAGATCCAGAAGAAACAAGAGACAGCGAAATCAGATAGATATACATTTCATACATTACACCAAACACAGAGGGAAAAAGTTTCAATATATTTAAAAAATAAAGGGCTTGAAAATATGAGTGAGGAGACCATTTTTAAAAACAAACAAATTTTTTTAAAAACTACCTAGTAAAAATGATTGAAAACCTCTTTTAAAAAACTCAAATTCGATAGTACAAAAAGCAAACTATACACAGCTGAAGAGAAAATTACCAAACAAGATAATATATCTTTTCATAATTTTTCATTGCCTGTTCACTTACTGAGAGTAGTGTGGTGACAGTCTCACTAGAAACATAAGTAAACAGCAACACAGCATTTAAAGCAGTGTTTTCCAGAGGGATAGACATGCCCCATGTGAATGCACAGAATTTAGTCAGTAGAAATAAATGCTAGCTCTTACCGAGTCCTTACTCTGTAACACAGGGCACTAAGCGCATTACAGATATGTCTCCTTTTATACTCACACTGACCCTATACAAATATAGAAAGATAAAAGGTCTACACCAAGGCTCAGCAAGTGACTCGTTCAAGGTCACAAAACTAGTACGTGTAGAAACCAACGTGTAATCTCCAAGCCTGCCTCAAAGTAACCAACTTGATATACCCAATATAGGTCAACAGAAATATATCTTACTTTGGGCTGTCTTTTACCTTGGCAAACCATATACCTTCTATTGACAACAATTCTCTTCTTGATGAATCCTTGAGTCCTCTTCTCAACTAGGCCTGGACCTCAGACTTCTGTATCCAGTTTTAGCAAGAATCCTGCTAAGTCAGTTTAGAGAGAACCCCCAACCCTTAATATCTAATCAACTTCTTCCCGCCCTTCCCCTACCAACTCTTGATGTCTCAGCCCTTGACCTGCCTTTAGCAAGAAGTCTGGTAGGCCAGTTTAGCAAGAATCCCCATACCCCTGATCCCCTCTTAATAATTTCCCACCCGGAAAGTCCTCACTGTGTCCCTTGGCTATAAACTCCCAGCTGTCTTTGTTGTATTCAGAGTTGAGCCTGATCACTCATCCCTATTATAATCTGCCTTTCCAAGTCTTAAATAAAGTCTTCCTTACCCTTTTAAGGAATGTCAGAATAATTCTGTCTTTAACAATGTATTACAATTTTCTGATTTGTACAATCGAAAGATTTTAACAAATTTAAAAATGGAAACTGCTAATACTAGAAATTGTTTAACTAGCACATAACTAAAATATCCTTGAGATCAACTCCATTAATATCTCTGTTGTAACCAAGACTATTTTACAGAACTTTGTCACTTTCACAGTCTGTTCTCCTGTCATTATATGTTACCACACAGGTCGAACATCAGATATTCTCAAATCTTTACATTCCTTCTTAGGAAGAAAAACTGCTAACTCCACGCTGCTTCCTTAGAGTTTTACTAGTATGTGCACACACAGGCGCAGGCGTGCACACACACACACACACACACACGCACACACACATGCACACACACAAACACACATCATGGACCCAAATAATACAATGTGTTACAGTAGTGTTTATGATATTCCTTCAAGTTCTAAAGGTTCTACATGAAAAGATTAGAAGTAAAATATTAAACTGCATATTAAAAAGTACCCTACAGATTACTATTATGATTTCTCCCTCAGATAAAAAGACATGCAAGTAATAGACTGTGTTGAGGGTTTACGTAACATTCCAGGAATCTAAACAGCCAGTCTTTGAGATAGACTGTGAATCGTGTGTGTGTGTATCTTCTATATATATACCTACCAGTTTCTCCCGCTGTTTTGTTCTTCCCATGAGGCTTATATAGAACATAAGAGCATCCTTTTACGTGGAAGTGGTCATTAATTTGTCTAAACCACCTGAAAATAACAAGAAGATTTGCTCATAGCAACAATTCTACAACAAAGATGGCATTATTCCAATTCTAAAGAAATTCAGGCACAGCCCAAAGTTGGCCTATCTACAAGAAGTTGAGACCAAGCGGCTGAATACATGGTTTACTATCAACACACAGCTACAGCATGATTATTTTGCAAAACTAGAAATAAAGTATTGTCTCTAAGAGGGTCTTCATACCTCATAAGTGTTGTATTTCCCGTGAAAGGACCAAACCTAATATCTTCAAATGGAGGTTGAAAGCCCAGAATATGTAAAGCTTCTTCTTGGGTAATAGGTGGAAGACTACAAAAGAAACATTCATTGCTTTTCATTTTTCAATTCCTGTTGTATGCAAACATAACCTATCTCAATGTTAATATACTTGTCTGATTGGTAAATAATTTTAGTAACATTTTTCATTATCTTGTTTTATTTTTTTAGAGATAGGGTCACATTCTGTGGTCCAAGATGGAGTACAATGGCATGAGCATAGCTCACTGCAGCCTTAAACGACTGGGCTCAAATGATCCTCTTGCCTCAGTCTCCTTAGAGGCTAGAACTACAAGTACATGCCATTGTGCCTGGCTAGTTGTTTTTATTTTTTTACTTTTTGTAGAGATGGGGTCTTGCTTTGTTGCCCAGGCTGATATCAAACTCCTTGGCTTCCAGTGATACTCCCACCTTGGCCTCCCAAAGTGCTACGATTACAGGTGTGAGCCACTGCACCCAGCCCATTTTTATTTTATTGAAATAATACATGTATATATTTTAAGCTAAAAGATTTATACTAAAATACAGTGGGGTTTTTCTAATTTATAAAAAATATCTTCTTAAAAATTTTCTGTTATAGAAAAAGCAACATCAAATTATCTTGAAGTTTGGGGATATTGAAAATTGACATACTTACTTTCCAGCTCCCATTGTGCTGTACAAGAAATTCCAACAAGAAATTAATGAGGAGATGCCACAGGAAGTCTTATACTGTGGTCGGCTTATGCAGTACCTGCGAAAACAAAAGACCATTTTCTTCACTTGAATGAATACAAAATAGACATGCTAGAAATAGAAAACTCATGGCAATTAAGAGTGTTAATATAATGAAAACTTTGATCCCCCAAATCAATGTGAAAATCTTCCATTTTCCTAATGAATCATGTCATAACTGTAAAATAACAATAAATCACCTACTTTAATCAACACAGCTAAATATGACTAACTACCAGTTAAAGTGGATGTTATCCAAACCAATGGGAAAAAAAATTAATAATATATATAAATTTAGACATCACTTATTAAAACTTTGGTGTAAAATCCTGGTTGAACTGCATACATGATCATTTGCTTCTTCAGAAATACGGGAGAAACAAAGCATTACCCCCTTGTATCAACTTCTCAGAGAGATTCTTCAACCCAAACTAAATATCATCCATTTACTACCCACTGTGTCCATCTAAAATCCTTGGGCAAGAGGCCATGAAGCAGTACTTCTCCTGTCACAGAGAATCAAAAGTAAAACACAAAATCCTTCCATGGCATGATTCAGTGGCACTAAGTAATCCAGACAATTTTCTAAACAGTCATGATTCAAGAGAGAAACTGAGGCTAATGTAAATAGAAGGAGAAAGAGACAGACTATTCTGTTTTAAGGAAGGAATAGGTTGGCTTTCAAATGATCTTCTTCTACTGCTTTCTAAAGAAGATGCTAAGAAGTAGCCAGAATGAAACAAAGAAACAAGACCTATCATCACTGAGAGCAAGAAGATGCTAAGAAGTAGCCAGAATGAAACAAAGAAACAAGACCTATCATCACTGAGAGCAACATTAGTGTCGTCTGAAAAATTAATTTACAAAATGAAAAATTAGACATATGCATGCGTACACAGATGCATTTGTATATGTACATATACTATGCACACTGGCACACATACAAGCTAACCGTGACCCTTAAATCTTTTTTCTTTTAAGTTCTAGGGTACACGTGCAGGATGTGCAGCTTTGTTAGATAGGTAAATGTGTGTCACGGTGGTTTGCTGCATCTCAATCCATCACGTAGGTATTAAGCCCCATGAGCACTAGTTATTTTTCCTGATGCTCTCTTTCCCCATCTCCTACCCCCCAACAGGGCCCAGTATGTGTTTTTCCCTCCCTGTGTCCATGTGCTCACACTGTTCAGCTCCCACTGATAAGTGAGAACATGGGCCATGACCCCTAAATCTATAGATTGAACTACACAAAATGATACACAAAAGTAATAACTGTCACTTAACAAACTAAGTGCTGTCTTCAACACCTTATTGTCAAATCTATTGAATCCTCCCTGAGTTGTGCTTTGTTCTTTAATTGTGATAAAAACATACAACATAAAAATAAAAATAATAAAATAAAAAATAAATTCTGCACAAAAGAAACAATCATTAGAGTAAGCCAGCAACCAACAGAATAGGAAAATATTTTTACAAGCTACCCATCTGACAAAGGACTAATATCCAGAATCTACAAAGAACTAAAATAAATTTACAAGGAAAAAACCCCATCAAAAAGTGGGTGTGGGCCGGGCGCGGTGGCTCAAGCCTGTAATCCCAGCACTCTGGGAGGCCGAGGCGGGTGGATCACGAGGTCAGGAGATCGAGACCATCCTGGTCAACATGGTGAAACCCCGTCTCTACTAAAAATACAAAAAAATTAGCTGGGTATGGTGGCACGTGCCTGTAATTCCAGCTACTCAGGAGGCTGAGGCAGGAGAATTGCCTGAACCCAGGAGGCGGAGGTTGCGGTGAGCCGAGATCGCGCCATTGTACTCCAGCCTGGGTAACAAGAGCGAAACTCTGTCTCAAAAAAAAAAAAAAAAAAAAAGTGGGTGAAAGATACGAACAGACACTTTCAAAAGAAGACATTTATGCGGCCAACAAACATATGAAAAAATGCTCATCATCACTGGTCATTAGAAAAATGCAAATCAAAACCACATTGAGATATCATCTCATGCCAGTTAGAATGGCAATCATTAAAAAAATCTGGAGACAACAGATGTTGGAGGATATGTGAAGAAATAGGAACACTTTTACACTGTTGGTGGGAGTGTAAATTAGTTCAACCATTGTGGAAAACAGTGTGGTGATCACTCAAGGATATAGAAACAGAAATACCATTTGACCCAGCAATCCCATTACTGGGTATATACCCAAAGGATTATAAATGATTCTATTATAAAGACACATGCACATGTATGTTCACTGCTTACAATAGCAAAGACTGTTTACAATAGGAAAGACTTGGAACCAACCCAAATGTCCATTAACAATAAACTAGATATGCCTGGTATGGTGGCTCACGCCTGTAATCCCAACACTTTGGGAGGCCGAGGCAGGTGGATCACGAGGTTTCAACAGATCGAGACCATCCTGGTCAACATAGTGAAACCTCGTCTCTACTAAAAATACAAAAAATCAGCTGGTCATGGTGGTGCGTGCCTGTAAGCCCAGTTACTCAGGAGGCTGAGGCAGGAGAATTGCCTGAACCCAGGAGGCGGAGGTTGCGGTGAGCCGAGATCGTGCCATTGCACTCCAGCCTGGATAACAAGAGTGAAACCCCGTCTCAAAAAAAAACAAAAACAAAACAAAAAAAAAAAAAAAAAACAATAAACTAGATAAAGAAAATGTGGCACATATATACCATGGAATACTATGCAGCCACAAAAAAGAATGAGTTCATGTCCTTTGCAGGGACATGGATGAATCTGGAAACCATCATTCTCAGCAAACTGACACAGGAACAGAAAACCAACACCACTCATAGGTGGGTGTTTAACAATGAGAAACACGGACACAGGGAGGGGAACATCACACACTGAGGTCTGTTGGGGGTTTGGGGGCTAGGGGAGGGATAGCAAGGGATGGGGAGATTGGGGAGGGATAACATTAAGAGAAATACCTAACGTAGGTGATGGGGGATGGAGGCAGCAAACCACCATGGCATGTGTATACCTATGAAACAATCCTGCAAGTTCTGCACATGTACCCAGAACTTAAGTAAAAAAATAAACAAGTAAAAATAAAATTAATTTTAAAAATAAAATAAAAAATAAACATACAACATAAAATTTTTCATGCAAGCCATTTTCAAGTGTACAGGTCAGTAGTGTCAACTATACATAAATTGTTGGGCAACAGAAGTTTTTCATCTCACAAAAATGAAACTCTTTGCCCACTGAACAACACAATGCCCTTTTTCCCCTTTCCCCCATCCCTGGAGACATATGAGCAATTTACTAACGTTCTTACTCAAGTAATCTGCCCTAGTTGTTTAAATATGAGTGTGAACTCCAACCTAAGACATCTTTGTTGTCAAGTGATTATTAATAGCTCCATCATCATAAACTATATGGCCCATGCTGATAAAGCACAAGCAACTCATTCATTGACTGATTTTTTTTTTTTTCTGCTGTGAGTATTTTTGCCAGAGTTCAATTTTGGGGATTATTTTACAAGTCCAATACTAACAGTGTTTTATATGTTACAAAATTTATCTTTACATATATTTACTAAGAAATTATTGCATGCATGTGTATATTTTTTCTCGTAACACTAAATTTAGCCCGAACATTTTAAAAAGGAGATGAGGCCGGGTGCGGTGGCTCAAGCCTGTAATCCCAGCACTTTGGGAGGCCGAGGCGGGTGGATCACGAGGTCGAGAGATCAAGACCATCCTGGTCAACATGGTGAAACCCCGTCTCTACTAAAAATACAAAAAATTAGCTGGGCATGGTGGCACGTGCCTGTAATCCCAGCTACTCGGGAGGCTGAGGCAGGAGAATTGCCTGAACCCAGGAGGCGGAGGTTGCGGTGAGCTGAGATCACGCCATTGCACTCCAGCCTGGGTAACAAGAGTGAAACTCCGTCTTAAAAAAAAAAAAAAAATGGAGATGAAAAGGGAGGTTTCTCTTAAGATTTTTCACACTTTTTCATCAGTCTAAACTTGTTTTCTAGTCTTGTTTATGCCCAGATTAAAACGTTTACCAACATTCTCCCAGTTTCTATGGGACTTCCCATTCTAACCTAATGTTGTGATATTGTCAGTGGAAAACAAGCTTAGAGTCTTGGTGATGGTTCCCCTCAGTGCATTCCTCCCATCTATCCTTCCTAGTGCTAGCTTTCACAGCCTCGCATGTTATATTATTAAAATGCAGTTGTGCGTATTTGTTGTTGAAACAAAGCTTAAATCTAAGCAATTAGAAGGACAAACAAGCAAAGCGTTTTTTTCAAAGAAATTCAAATGAATATTTTTTAGTGTCTCTTCTCCTTTATTCCCTACATACTAACTACTCCAAATTTATCTTTATAAAAGTTCCTTTTGTTAAGAAATTGTCCATGGCTTATCTTTAACTCAGAAAAAAAAAAAAATCTAAATCTTGAGCCCGATATCTAAAAAGAGATCATGACATGTGTTATAGGGAAAGAGCACGAATGTTGAAGTCTGAGTCTTCGGTTTCAATACAGGATCTTCTGCTTATTAGCCACGTGACATTGGCAGGTTTCGTGGCTTCTCTGAGCCTCACTCTAGACAAGCTATTCTCTCTTCAGTACCCACATTCCAAAGACACTTTCCTATAATCCTTTCAAAGACCCTTCACCCTTCCAACCCTTCATATTTCCTCCCTTAAGACCCAGGATCTTAGTAAAGCATTTTGGTGAACATTACCTCCTTTCATGGTTAATTATGGATTCATATCCATCACATGACAAACTGCCTAAGATATTTAATATTTTTCTGTTTAGTCCCTCTCCTCAACTAGATTTTACACCTTGGGAAAACAAAGACCATGTTGTGTGCATCTCTGTTTCTCAGCAAAGGGACCAATATTTATTAAGTAAGTGATAAAAATGTATTTCTAAAATGTCATACAAATGAATTTTAAAGATTCAAATGAGAGTCAGTAAAAAGTTCGCATGAATTAAATTTGTTTTCTTTAGACTAGGAACTGTATTTTAAGATAACCAAATAGCCCCGGTTGATGAATGAAAGCTGGAGAAGAAGACTGGGTAATAAAGTTACATTTTTAAAAAAGATAGAATTTTGAAATATAACCATTTTGCAACAAAGATTCAGACAAGGATCATCAATGGGTTTGGGTTGTCAATACATTTGGCTAAAATCATAAGGTAAAAAGTTGATGGAACCTGGCTATTACCGAATGCCACTCTGTCAACTTACTGATTACTTGAGGGTAGCAGAAAGGAAAGAAATAACTCGTCAATGTAGAATACAGCTATCACCACCTTAACCCAGTAATCACTTAAAATTGCTAACACTGGATAATCAGATACCATGTGCCTTCTGATGTGAAACATCTGAAGTATGAAGGCCCACTCAAGCAGTGTTCTTACATAAAATGTTGTACTGGAATTGAATCAAGTCTTTATATTCAACTTAAAGTTTACAGGAAATATTGAGGTTAGATGACTAATTTAGGAAACTAAAAGGAAAGAACGAATCTAGAATGCAGGACATTCTACAAAATATCTGGCCAAGTTTCTTCAATAAGTCAATCTTTACAATTCTTGTTTGTTGATTAAAGTAAATAGAATTTTAAAAAGACAAGGGGAAAAGGGGGAAGGTAGGGTGGAGACTGTCGTAGATTGAGAGACATGGGTCACAACAAGCAAACATGTGGTTCACAACTGGGTCCCACTCTGAACAAAAATATGTGAAGACCTTTTCAGAACAATCTGGGAAGCGTGACTTTAGCCTGGGAATTAGATACTATGGAAATATTATCAATCTTATTAGATATGGCAAAAGTATTACGGTTCAGTAGAAAAAAGTCATTTTTTTAGAGATGCATGCTTAGGTAGCTTGAGATGAAATACGATAAATATCAGTCACTTACTTGAAAATTCTTCAGCAAAGAAAAGCTAAGTATATAATGACATCAAAAGGTTAATCGTTGTTAAATCTAGATGGCAGTTATGCAAAATCACACAAATGACTCAAATAATCAGCCGAGTTGGGGAAAGATGTGTATAGCTCATTATTAATCTACTTCAAACATTTGTGGTAGACTTTAAATATTCAGAAATCCTGATAATAATTTTAAAACTAAAAATATTTATTATACCTATAATGTATTAATTGGTAAACTGCTAAATTATTGCCAACATACATTAGATATTTCAAAAATGAAAAAAATTAAAACTGATGACATCACCATCGTCTGAGGTCTAATACTTTCCGCTGTTTAATATCTTCAAGAGGAGAATGCTGAGGACATTCTTTCTGATATCTTCCTTTTTTATCTGAAGTTTTTTTCTTGGAAACTTGTCTCTTTGCATTGCCTAGAATATTAGGGTATAAAATCAGCAAAATGCTTAAGATGAAGTAAACTGAAATTACAAAAATTAATTATGCACCAAAATTAAGAAGTAACTGCCTTAATAATTCTGCTGAGAGAGTGCAAAAAATAAATAAATAAATAAATAACTGCCACTGGTTCTATTTGCAAATACAATGAAATAATACATGTAGTTTCAATTATAGTCCCTACCTTAAAGAGAAAGAGGGAATAAAAACAAATTTAAACAACCATGAATCCTATTTTATATCAGGATCTTATACTCCAATTCCAGTGCTAGTCACTTAGCTGGCAAAACAATCAATCACTAAATCTTTAGCCACATCTAGAAAATCAAATTATCAACAGTAAAAAATTTAACTAGACCACTTTCCAGAAAATGAAGAAAACAATAAAACCAAAATCAATGCAACTCTGTTAAGAAAGTAAAAGCAATAATGTGATGATACGATGTTTAAAAATATCTCTGGGCCTACAGAGATGATAGAATGAACAATGATGCACACATGCACATTACTAAAATGCAACTTTAGCACAGGAACTACAATGAAAATCAAACCTCCTGTGTGCATGTATGCATGTATATATGCATGTACACATACACACTCACAAATGCACACACACATATACATTCTCCAAAAGACCCTCAAGACAAACAACAGTTGTTACTACTGAGGAAGGGAGAATTGGAAGCTAAGACAAAAGGGAGCCAAAAGTAAGAGTGAAAATTTATACTTTTTAACTTCTTAAATTTTTGTGTGTACATAGTAGGTACACATGCTTATGGAGTACATAGATGTTTTGATAAAAGCATGCAATGTGAAATAACCACATCATGGAGAATGCGGTATCCATGCTGTATTTTTTAATTTTTATATTTTTTATTTCTGAATGATGCTAGTGAAGTAGCTTGTAAAAAAGTTATATAAAATATCAATAAATAACATCCACGCCTCATTTCATTAAAATATTTTTAAGATTTCAGATAGCTATGCTCAAATATTTGAATCTTGCACACATATTCTATTTTACAACAGTTTTGTTATAAAAATTAACTGAAGGCTAATATTTCTTTTTTTTTTTTTTTGAGACGGAGTTTCGCTGTTGTTACCCAGGCTGGAGTGCAATGGCGTGATCTCAGCTCACCGCAACCTCTGCCTCCTGGGTTCAGGCAATTCTCCTGCCTCGGCCTCCTGAGTAGCTGGGATTACAGGCACACGCCACCATGCCCAGCTAATTTTTTGTATTTTTAGTAGAGACGGGGTTTCACCATGTTTACCGGGATGGTCTCGATCTCTTGACCTCGTGATCCACCCGCCTCGGCCTCCCAAAGTGCTGGGATTACAGGCTGAGCCACCACGCCCGGCCTCATTTTTATGAGTTATTCATAAATTAGAAAACAGATTATATACATATATGCCTAGTAAGCAAACATGGGAAGAGATCAGTTTTGTTCATTCAAGATGCTTTACACTGAAACCATTTGGTAACTACAAACAGCTGGAACACAGGAACTATTATTATACAGGGAATTTCTGTAAAAATGTAATAATAATGAAGCCTATAAAGTCAAGAAACAATGTTTCACCTTCCTTTTGATTATTCTTTTTGTTTGTTTGTGACAGGGTCTTGCACTGTTGCCCAGACGGGAGTGCAGTGACGCAATCTCTGCTCACTGTGACCTCCACCTCCTGGGCTCAAGCAATCCTCCTACATCAGCCTCCAGAGTACCTGGGATGACAAGTGAACGTGACCGTGCCCAGCTAATTTTTGCATTTTTAGTAGAGACAGGGTCTTGCTATGCTGCCCAGGTTGGTCTCAAACTCCTGAGCTCAAGCAATCCTCCTGCCTCAGCCTCTCAAAATGCTGGAATTACAAGTGTGAGCCACCGTGCTTGACCCTTTTAATTACTTTTTCTAAGCTCTTACAGAGAACACACTTTCACAGAGCTGAACATCACTGGCAAAGGTGAGCAATTGCGCCAAATCTCATTGTGCCAAATTTCCTTCACTGGTAAAATGACTCTTAGAGAATCAGATGACAGAAGAATGAGCTTCTAACATTTCTTGAATGTCTTCACTGCCTAATAATGACTTAATTCCCTAAGTAGTTTTCCCATCCACTTAAAATTTTAAGGCTAATGAAACATGGAAATGTGTGACCTTGACTGTACTCACACTTTCCTCTAGGGTTCCATGACCTTGACCCTATTCTCTTTTTATTGAATCTAGGATTGTCCCTGGGATCAATGAGCATATATGGTCCAAATAAGCATACTTCATAAAAGCCCCGCACTGCCACAAAAGGAGCTGGTCCCACAGGCAAAAGTTCATTCAATGTAAGGGAAGGAAGCCTCGTAAAAGTGAAAGCTAAGTTTGAGATGGGAACATAAAAGAGCAACACCTGCACCTTCTGCCTCCTATCACATCAGCTTCAAGAACCTTCGACCACTGCTCCTTCTCATTACCAAGTTCCTTCTTCCATTCCTCACCCTACCCACAGCACATGCACACAGCCTCAACACCACACACACACGCACACACACACACAAACACACACACACACATACACACAGGAATTCACCACACTGCCTTTTAGAAAAAGGCATGAGAAGAGCAAATAAAAGTAGAAAATCCACTGTCTTTTTTACTGGAAGAACTAAAGTACAGAGTCCTGTACAATCACCATCACTGAAAGTGAGGTGAGAGGGAACCCAGAAAGAAGAGAGTCACAGAGAAGGGCAAAAACTGACAAACTCTGGGAAAGACGGGAATCGATTTCCAGAGTTACTACATTATTAAATAACATTTGAATGTCTAGTTTCCAACAACAACAACAAAAATCACAAGGCACACAAAGAAACAGAATATGGTCCATTCAAAAGAACAAAAAAATATATAAACCAACAGAAACCATCTCTGTGATACCAAATGGCAGACTTGCTAGACAAGGACTTTAAAATCACTATCTTAAAGATGCTAAAAGAATTAAAGAAAGATGAATGTATGAAGAACATGGAAATATCAATGAAGAAACAGAAAACTTAGAAGGAAATAACAAAAATTATTGGGCTAAAAATATAACTGAAATGAAAAACTCACTAGAGTGATTCAAAGGCAGGCTTGAGCAGGCAGAAGACAGAATTCATGAACCTGAAGATGGGAAAACTGAAATAATTGAATATGAGGAACAGAAAGAAAAAGGACTAAAGAAAAGTGAACAGACCTTAATGGACCTGGGGACACCATCAAGTGGACCAACCTATGCACTGCAGAAGTTCAAGAAGGAGAAGACACCAAAAAACGGGTAGAGAGATTATCCAAAGACATAATGGCTAAAAACTTTCCAAATTTGATTTAAAAAGAATGAATATAAACATCCAAGAAACTCCACAAATTCCAAGTAGGAGGAACTTAGACCCATACCAAGACACATAATAAAATTGCAAGGCCAGGTACAGTGACTCACGTCTGTAATCCCAGCACTTTGGGAGGCCAAGGCAGGCGGATCACCTGAGGTAGAGGGTTTGAGACCAGCCTGACCAACATGGAGAAACCCTGTCTCTACAAAAAATACAAAATTATTCGGGCATGGTGGTACATCCCTGTAATCCCAGCTACTTGGGAGGCTGAGGCAGGAGAACCACTTAAAGCCAGGAAGTGGAGGTTGCAGTGAGCCTAGATCATGCCATTGCACTCCAGCCTGGGCCACAAGAGCAAAACTCTGTCTCAAAAAAAAAAAAGAAAAGAAAAAAAAAATTTACAGAAAGACAAAGACTCTTCAAAGAATCACAAGAGAAGCAACTCATCACATACAATGGATTGTTAAAAATTTCAAACAAGAATCCTAAATCCAGCAAAACCGTCCTTCAAAAGCAAAGGAGAAACTCAGACATTCCCAGACAAGCAAAAACTGAGGAAGTTTATTACCACTAGACCTGCCCTATAAAGAATACTAAAAGGATTCCTGCTGGTTGAAATGAAAGGACATTAGCTAGTACCTAAAGCCACAGGAAAAAAACAAATTTACATCACTAAAGATAATAAACAAACAATTATAAAAGCCAGTGTTATTTTGTTAGTTTACAATTCCAGTTTTTGTATTCTATAGGATTTATGAGACTAATAAATTTGTGAAATTTTTTTTTGAGACATAGTCTCACACTGTCACCTGGGCTGGAGTGCAGTGGACAATCTTGGCTCACTGCAACCTCCACTCCCAGGTTCAAGTGATTCTCCTGCCTCAGCCTCCTAAGTACCTGGGATTACAGGGCCCATCACTCAGCCGCAGCTAATTTTTGTATTTTTAGTGGAGACAGGTTTTCTTCATGTTGGACAGGCTGGTCTCAAATTCCTGACCTCGTGATTTGCCCACCTTGGCCTCCCAAAGTGATAGGGTTACAGGCGTGAGCCACCTCGCCTGTCTTAAAAATTATTATTAGTTTAAAAGCTAGTAGTAGACCAGGTGCAGTGGCTCATGCCTGTGTTCCTGCAAGGCCGAGGCAGGAGGACTGCTTGAGCCCAGGAATTCAAGATCAGCCCTGGCAACATAGTGAGACTCTAACTCTACAAAAAATGTAAAAAATACCCAATCGTGGTGGTGCGCACCTCTAGTCCCAGCTACTTGAGAGGCTGAGGTGGGAGGAATGCTTGAGCCTGGAAGGTCAAGGCTGTATTATGCCATGGTCATGCCACTGCACTCCAGTCTGGGCAAGGTACCAAGACCCCATCTCAAAATAAAAAATGAAAATAAAAAAGGTATTTTTATAAAAATAGCTTTTAACTCCACATTTTGTTTTCTACATTATTTTAGAGATTAATGCATAAAAATTATTAGTTTATGTTTCCAGACACACAATGTATAAAGATGTAGTTTTATAACATCAATAACTGAAAGTGGGTTACATATACATAACAAGCAGCAAAATGACCAAAGTCTTTCCTTATCAGTGATTACTTTAAATGTAAATGGATTAAATTCTTCACTCAAAAGGCAGAGATTGGCAGAATGGATTTTAAAAAATATGCTTTCGAATACATGAGTTCACACATGAAAAAGTAACAGAAAAAATTAGCTAACTATATTTCTGTTGTTTCATTCTCTGTCCATTTGTGTAAGGAATGACATGAACTATAGATATAATTTAAATGGAACACTCATTTCTGAAACATTCACTTTAGATCTAGAGATACGAATAGGTTGAAAGTAAAAGGATGAAAATAGGTATTCCAAAGCAAATAGTTCCAAAAGAGAGCAGGGGTGGCTATAAATAAACCAGTCATAAAAAGACTATATAATTTCACTTACATAAGGTACCTGGAATAGTCAAATTTACAGTGACAGAAAGCAAAATGGCAGTTCCCATTACTGTGAGGAGAAGGAATCAGGATTTATTGATTAATGGGTAAAAAGTTTATTTTGGAATATAAAAAGAGATTTGGAGATGAATAGTGATGATGGTTACACAACAATATGAATGTACTTAATGCCACTAAATTGCACAGGCAAAAATCTTTAAGATGGTAAATTTTATGTTATTAAATATATATTAGTTTTTAAAAAAGAAATTAAATGCAGAAAAGACAACTTCACAATCATAGTTGAAGATTTTTAACACCCTTCTTTCAGCAACTGACAGAACAAGACACAGGTTAATCAGAGACACAAAAGATGTGAATAACACTTTCAAACACTTTGACATAATTAATATGTATAGATACTCCCAATGACTGCAGATGCACATTCTTTTCAAGTGCACATGGTACATTCACCAAGATAGACCATATGTTGGTCATAAAACAAGTCTCAGTAAATTTATAAAGACTGAGATCATATGCCCTCTGTCCACAACGGAACTAAACTAAAAATTAATATTTAGAAAAACTATAAATATCTAGAATTAAACAGCATGCATCTAAGTAATACATGTATCAAAGAATAAATTGCAAAGTAAATTAAAAAATATTTCAAATTAAATAAGAAGAAGAATATCAAAATTTGTGGCCTGCAGCTACTTAAAGAGCAATTTGGAGCATCATATGCTTATGGCAGAAAAGTCTAAAATCAATGATCTAAGCTTCCATCTTAAGAAGTCAGCAAATGAAGAACAAAGTAAACCCAAAGTAAGTCAGAGGAAGGAAATAATAAAGAACAGAAACCAATGAAATAGAAAACAAACAATTGAGAAAAGTAACAAAGCTAAAAGCTGGTTATTTGAAAAGATGAACAAAATTGATCAACTCCTAGCTAGGCTGATCAGTTTTTTTTAAAAAATAGAGAAAATAAATTAATTACCAATATTAGGCTGCAAAAGGAGTAGTCACTATAGATTCCTTAGATGTTAGAGGGATAACAGCAACTTTAAGCCCCCAAATTTGACAACTTAATGACATGGACAAGCTAAAATTTGTCAGAAATTAACAGAAATCAAAACAACTCCATAATTATAAATAGAGGTTTTAATATCTCTCTGAAAATGTTCAGAAAACAGAAGGACAATACATTCCACAACTTTTCTTAGAAGATTTGCATACCCCTAATTCCAAAACTGGACAAAGGCAATAAACAAAAAGAAAATTTGCAGACTCATTAGTTATAAATTTAGACAAAAAAGTAAAATCCCCCTCCTACCCTTGAGAACTACAAATTTACTTAACATTCTATAAAACAAGTTGATTTTGCAGATGAACAAGCAGAAGCATTAAGGTTTTACAAAATCATCAGAGAAGCCCAGAATTAAAATACAAATCCTAGTGTGATCTCTTACTAACTGTGCAACTTTGGTCAAGAGATTTAACCCCTCTAAGCCTCAATTTCTTCACCTACAAATGCGGATAACAGTACCTGCCTCATAAAATTCCTATATTACTTTGAATTCAAAATAGAGAAGTGTAAAGTATTTCTATTTGCCATAGGACCATCCCATTGCAACTGTGAAGGTTGTGCACAACCTAGGTAAACAGCATCTTCTTAAACTGAGCAGTACACAACCTACTCAGCGGTACGTGGAGGCTTTGCTGGGTGCTTAAAAATTTTTAACAGCAAAAAAAGCTAAAATATTATATAATAGGAAAAAAGATATTTGGTCAGGAAATATGACTTCATGGGCCTATAAAACTATGAAACAGTAGTATGTTATTTTAGCCATGTTATTACCCTTTTCTAAGCCACCATCTGTTTATCTATAATATTTTACAACATTCTTAGATTTTCAAAGCTCTCAAAATATTTAATACAAAGGTTATGCTTGAAGTTTCCAGGGGAAACCCAGTAATAAACTACATGTCCTATGTCAAGGTTACTTTCCTAAAACTACATTGACAGACAAGATGATAGCCACGTTCCTTATTTAGCATTATAAAAGAAAAAAAATATATGAATGGCAAGATTAAACAAGACGTAGTGTTTGTTTCCTCATTATTTTCACATATGAACTTCATGGCTCCTTCCTTACCTGATTTGTGTTTCAAATTTGTGGTCACCCCATCAAATTCAGATTTATCAATTTCCCATGCGAGAGGTAGCTTGCCCAGGCTGTTGGATAAGTGTTCCAAGCTATTTTCTTCATTGTAGATGATTTCCGATGTACTCGTCGGGATACCAATGTATCTTGATGAATTATTTCCAGAAGATAAAGAAGTACTATCAGGGAGGCAAGAAGAGCGGGATGGATTTGGAGTTTTATAGATTGAGGTTGCCTGGTTGAGAAAGGCATAGTCCGAACAGATGGCATAAATTTTTTCCCGAGTATGAGTCACTGGACAACTCCATGGATAATGACCATCTCCTTTGGGACCCAAGGGTGCTCCTGAGGCACTTGTGCAGAAAGATTTTACAGCACCTTGTAGACTCTCATCAGGTGACTTTCTTTCAGATTTGTGCTCACCATTTCCAGAATCATTTGACCTTTCTGTTTCTGCAACGTTAGGCATTGAATGCAGTGTAAAAGTTTCTATTACTAGAAAAAAGTTGCAACTCTTTCTGTTTCTTGAAAAACAACTTTCACAATTGTTTACAGCATGCTATAAAAGCTGGAGAGCTGCAAAGTGAGCTCCTAATAGGAAGGAAAAAGAATGATCAACAATCCACCAGATATACAAACAGCACTTAAAAAATAGCTATTTTATGCATACATATGCTTTCATTCTATATTAATTTTACAACTACAATATGACTAGAGTCATGATCACTGACTATCTTATTTTTTAAATTAGTCTAAAATAATGCATGAGAATAATTAAAAAGCAAGTAGCCCAATTTTTTAAAATGGGCAAAGTATCAGAATAGTGACTTCTCCAAAATCGTATAGAAATTGCCAGTAAGGGTAGACACAGTGGCTCACACCTGTAATCCAGCACTTTGGAAGGCCAAGGCAGGTGAATCACTTGGGGTCAGGAGTTCGAGATCAGCCTGGCCAACATGAAGAAACCCCATCTCTACTAAAAATACAAAAATTAGCCAGGTGTGGTGAGACATGAGTCCCCGCTACCACTACTCAGGAGGCTGAGACATGAGAATCACTTGAACTTGGGAGGTGGAGGTTGCAGTAAGCCAAGCAAGACTCTGTCCCAAACAAAACAAAACAAAACAAAACAAAACAAAACAACAGAAACAGAAAAGAAAAGAAATGGTCAATAAGCACATGAAAAGATACTCGGTATCATTAGCCATCATGGAAATACAAATCAAAACCATAGTAAGATAATACCCTACACATACTAGAATGGCTATAATCAAAAAAATAAGAACAAGTTTTGGTGAGGATGTATGTGAAGAAATCATAACCCTCATACACCACTAGTAGAAATGTAAAACGGTCCAGTTGTTTTGGAAAACAGTTCTTCCAAAAATTAAACAGTTACCATATGGTTCAGCAATTTCATTCCTAGGTATATATCCATGACAGATGAAAATACATCTCCTCACAAATGTTAATAGCAGCATTATTCATAAGAGCTAAAAATTGGAAACAACCCAAATGTCCACCAATTGATGAATGTATAAATAAAATGTGGTATATCCATACAATGGAATATCATTTGGCAATAAAAAGAAATGAAGTACTGACCCATGCTACAACATGGATGTACCCTGAAAACATTACACTGAGTAAAAGAAGATAGTCACAAAGGACCAGATAGTATATGATTCTATTTATATAACATGTCAAAAATAGGAAAATTTATGAAGACAGAAAGTCTCCATGAAAGTCTTCGTGGTTGCCTAGGACTTGGGGTTTGGGGGCGATGGAGTTTCTTTTTATAATAATGATAATATTCTATAAATGATTGTGGCAATGAACACACAACTTTGTAAATACACTAAAGGCCAATGAATTATATAACTTAATGGGTAAATTATATGGTGTGTGAATTATATCTTTATGGATATAAAGATGTCTAAAAAATAATGTATTAGCAAGTTTTTTAAGTCCACGGGCATAAAGGATACATGATGAATAACAGTCACAGATTTAAATCAACAAAAGAATACAAAAAGTAAATTTTTCAAAGATTCATCACCTGACAAGAAAACGGATCCAATAAAGGTGTCAGTAACTTCTGATCAGTTTCAGGAAAAACTGAATTTCAAGTCTAAACTGATTCCTTTGGGGAAGAAAACAGAAAGCTTAAATCACAACTGAGGGCATGGAAGGAAGCTGAAGACTTATATCTTGGTGAATTGAACCATCCCAGGATACACAGCAGACAACCTCAAGAAGGCGCCTGGGCAAAGTATATGGATTTCTTAGGGCTCCAGCAACAGAGCATCAGTCAAGAGAGTCAAGCCACCCTGAGTGATGAGTTGAACTTTTACCAGTTAATATCTCTGCCTATTTGCTTACTTAAAAAATTAGAAATAAAAATAACTGTCGTAAGTTATCCTGATCAGTGAGGAAAAACTAGCAAAGATACTGCATGGCTTTAACAGCATTTAAGGAAACAGAGTTCCATGTTAGGACTCCACATGTGCTAGGCAAAAATTCCATTTTCTTTACTTTTAAAGCATGCTTTTTATCTATTCAAACCTTCAGTTTTTAGGCTGGGCACAGTGTCTCATTCCTGTAATCCCAGCACTTTGGGAGGCTGAGGTGGGTGGGTCATTTGAGATCAGGAATTCAAGACTAGCCTGGCCAACATGGTGGAATCCTGTCTCAACTGAATATGAAATGACTGAAAATACAAAAATTAACCAGGCAGTAGCGACGCATGTAATCCCAGCTACTCGGGAGGCTGAGGCAGGAGAATTGCTTGAGCCTGGAAGGCAGAGGTTGCAGTGAGCTGAGATTGTGTCACTACACTTCAGCATGGACGACCCGCACTCCATCCTGTCTCAAAAAAAAAAAAAAGAAAAGAAAAAGAAAAAAGAAAAAAACCTTCAGCTTTTAAATAATTTGTGCAGAGTTTATAGTTGTTTGCAGGAGGGTCAGTTGGACAGGAACATTACCACAAAAGGTGAAACCTCCCATGGTTTAACTTTGAAAACTTTCACTTTGTTTCGGTAAAAAAAAAAAATTTGGAGTAGGTGTAACGGGTCATTAGGTAGAAGCACTGATGCTTTCTCCATATTCATCTGGTGGTGCAATGTTGATGGTAGAGGGCAGCTCAGTACCTGGCGCTGTTCAGACCAAACTCTTGTCTTTTGGGAGAGAGAGTTGCTCTGACTCTTAGCAGATGTCCTAACAGCATTTTCTACTTCTCATCTATGATCTTCATGCCTTTCTCTACGTCAGTGTGGTAGAAAGACAGGTAGGTATTTGTGGTGTTGGGACATGGGGGTGGGCTGTCCGAGGTGAGGAATGAAAGAGCATATGGTCATGGTGAGAGGCAATAGGCAAAGGTTATTGGAGTGAGTTTGGTGGGGAAACAGATGTTCCAGGCACTGCCCCTTTTATATCCTCATCTCAGACTTAGCTTCTACTTTTCCAGGTCTTCCTTCCTCACACTGAATGGAATTTTGCCTGTGGGACCAGCTCTCCATGTGACAATGTAGGAATTATCTTATCTTATTTTAGAGTCCCCTCTGTCATGCAGCCTGGATCTCAGCTCACTGCAAACTCTGCCTTCTGGGTTCAAGAGATTACCCCGCCTCAGCCTCCAGAGTAGCCGGAATTACAGGCAGGTGCCACACAGCTGGCTAATTTTTATATTTTTAGTAGAGATGGGGTTTCACCATGTTGGCCAGACTGGTCTGGAACTCCTGACCTCAGGTAATCTGCATGCCTTGGCCTCCCTTAGTGTTGGGATTATAGGTGTGGGCCACCAGCAGGCAGGGATTTTAAAAGTATGCTCATTTGGAACACATAAAGGAGAATAATTTCTTTTTTAAAAAAAGAAACAGGGCCTTGCTATGTTGCCCAGGCTGGTCTTCACCTCTTGGCCTCAAGCAATCCTCCCACCTCAGCCTCCCAAAGTGCTGGCATTACATGCACAAGCCACCATACCCAGCCATGGAGAATATTCTTATCAGAAACATAGGCAAAGGGAAATTACTGCATTTGAGCACCAAAGTTGGGGTTAAGTTTCCTGGAAGCTAAATTAAGAACATAGCACTCGATTAATAAAAAGTGTAACAGTGTGGGCCAGGCACAGTGGCTCATACCTGTAATCTGTATGCTTTGGGAGGCTGAGGTAAAAGAATTGCTTGAGGCCACGAGTTCGAGGCTGTAGTGAGCTGCACTCCAGCCTGGGAAACGAAGCAAGACTCCGTCCCAGAAAAAAAAAAAAAAAAAGGAAAGAAAGAGAAAAAAGTAACAGTCTGGTTTTTTGTGTTTTGGGTTTGTTTGGTTTTAAATAATGGTCACTGAACAAGAATGATCTCTTTGGTGGAAGTTGTAGCAAAAAAAAAAAAAAAGTGAAGATCATCAACATAAAGATGCATTTTATATTGACTGTCACTAAAATCCAAGGACATGAAACATTCTCATTGGAAATGATGTTTAGGTAAATTTCTCTTTGAAAATTGCATCATATTCTTAGATTTCGTAAGTAAAACATTATAAAAAAAATGCAAAGTACCAAAGGGTATTCCAGGAAAATGGAAATTACCCAAATCCCACGACCCAAACACTACTAGTATTTAGTTTCTTTCCACAGTCTCAGGTCTATTCTTTCACTACAGTGAGAACTCCAAGAGGCCAAGAGGGCTTCTATTATTGCATCCTCAGTACTTTGCTCAGATTCTAGCTTTCTTAAAGTAAACTAACCACGATTTATTACTGATAACAGAATCATTAAAGACATCAATGACTGTATTATAACTATAGCCTCAGGAAGTACTGAGATACAGAGAGGCAGTTTGTCCCTCCACTTAATAGGCTGCAGCCCTCACTGTTTGACCCATCTTGTATCTCCTTTTGTTTGTATATTTATAAACCATTCCCAGTGAGTTGACACTTCTAATCTGACCTGTGCATAGATACTAGAAAATAAAGTTTGCTACATATATATATATGATCACAGAACTCCCCTGCCTGAAAGCCTCTGCTCTTAGAACATAAGTCCAGCCGGGCCCGCTGGCTCAAGCCTGTAATCCCAGCACTTTGGGAGGCCGAGGCGAGTGGATCACAAGGTCAAGAGATCGAGACCATCCTGACCCCGTCTCTACTAAAAATACAAAAAAAAAATTAGCTGGGCATCGTGGCACATGCCTGTAATCCCAGCTACTCAGGAGGCTGAGGCAGGAGAATTGCCTGAACCCAGGAGACGGAGGTTGCGGTGAGCCCAGATCGCACCATTACACTCCAGCCTGGGCAACAAGAGTGAAACTCTGTCTCAAAAAAAAAAAAAAAAAAAAAAAGAACATAAGGCCAACCCTGATGGTCCCTAGATCTATCTGGTTAGCTCCATTTCATTCCTTTCCCCCTGCCTCCCAAGCTCCACATTACTTTTTGGTTCTCCGCACGCTGTCTCCCTTACTTAGTTAATTCCCATTCATCTTTCCAATGTCAGCTCAAATGTCACTTTCTGGGGGAAACTTTCTTGGCTTCTCAAACTAGGCCAGGTCACCCGGTACAGACTGCAGTACCTTCCTCGCACAGATCTTACCAGGTGGCGATTTTACACTCCCATTTGTGCTTATGTCTTTACATGATTAGATTATTGTATCCCCAGGGCCTAGCATTTGTAGACGTCTCATTCAACAGATAATTTTTAAGTGCTTGCAGCATGCCAGGCATTACTATAGGCCCTCATTCTGATTGATTTAGGTTCCCTCTTCCAGGCAAGTGAGGTGTTGCTATATTAAGATTTACTACTAAGCCGGCCTGGTGGCTCATGCCTGTAATCCCAGCACTTTGGGAGGCCGAGGCAGGTGGATTACCTCAGGTGAGGAGTTTGAGATCAGCCTGGACAACATGGTGAGACCCTGTTTCTATCAAAACAAAAACAAAAACAAAAACAAAAAACAAAAAACAAAGTTAGCCCAGGCCTGGTAGCGCATGCCTGTATGCCCAACGACTCAGGAGGCAAGGCTGGAGAATCGCTTGAACTCGAAAGGCAGAGGTTGCAGTGAGCTGAGATTGCGCCATTGGACTCCAGCCTGGCCGATAAGAGCAAAACTCCATTAATAAATAAAATAAAATAAAATAAAGATTTACTACTAAGAATGACTGGAGGACCTGCCATAAGCAATAGAAACATGGTTTGCTCCTACGTAAAGCAAAATTTTATAAAATAGCATGCTTTAAAAGCACCGCCAGTCACGACTGTTCAAAGTCACTGAACGAAGTGTTCTGTAAAATAAACATCCATTGTAAAGCCAATATTCATCGCCTAGATTAGAGTCTTTTCAGGTTACATTTTGTCTATATACTTAGGTATCAAGTTTATGAGAGAACCAAACATCTCTAAAAATCTCTCCAGCAAAGCCTATTGATATGACAAAATACCCTGATAGATATTCTGTACAGAAGGCAAGTGAGACGCAGGGGCACTCGGGTGACCCCGTAAGGGTCGAATGTGCAGCGGAAGGTGAGACCAGACACGCGTAGCCCCCGGCCGAACTAACGCCACTCTTCCAACCTGGTGTCCTCCCGCGCCCTCCAGGCCCCTTCCTCCCCTTCAGACCTGCAGGTCCCCAGAGCCAAGGCGCCCGCCTGCCAAAGGATACCGGGAGTCCTCCGCGCCCGGCGCCGGCCTCCAGCCCGCGCTCCGCCGCGCTCCGGGGTAGGCCGGGAGCGTTCCCACCGCCGTCCTCTACCAAGCTCGGCTGAGCTCGGAGGCCGCCGGGATGGAGGCGACGATCGCGCAGGCCGGGCCACGCCGCGCAGAGCCAGTGCGCGCAGAGGCGGCGCAGGCGGAGAGGAAGGAGCGCGGCTGCGCCCCCTGCCCGTAGCCACCGCGGCCCGCGCCCCCGCGCGTGTCCCGGGGACCCGGAGTCCCCAGCCCGCAGCGCCCGAGGGCCGCCGAGGCCTCCTCGCCTCTCTCCAGCCTCCTCCTTCCCTTGCCGGCCGGAAGACGAGGCTCTCCGCTAGGGGGAGCGCGCCGAGGCCCCGGGTGACCCCCTCGACTCTGCCTGCCCCGGAGCCGGGGGACGCTCTCGGTGTTAAAGGGGTCCCGCGGGCAGTGGCTGCATCCGGGCTAAGAGCTGGGGCTCCGATTCGAGTGTTTGAGTAAAAGAGTCGATATCATTAATCATGACAATTGCACAAAAGAAAATAGGAAAGAAACCCCCGGCCCCGGCGCCCGACCAGGTCCGCCTTGGCTCGGAGCCACCGGCCCTTCTGGGTTTTCGGGGCAGCTGGCAAGAGGGAACCTGGCAGAGGAGGCGGCTGCGGGTCCGACTGAGCGGACCAGGGCGGCGCGCCCGTAACACCTGGCGGCGGCCAGGGTCCGGGTGCGGGCGTGCAGGGGAAGGCGACAGCCGCCGCGCGCTGGTTCCCGGACCCTGCCCAGCGTGGCGCGGAGACCGATGGCCTCACAGGGGTCACCGGTATTCGCACGACACCTCCTGATCGAGCTTTGTTCACCAGAGGGCTAGGCCCTTCTCTCCCTGGCGCTTCTCTTCCCTCTGCAACCCAGCTCTTCCCCCTACTCCTTCCCGGGAGAGCGGGTACCCATGCAGTGGCCTCCATCCGGATGCCACGGGGCTCCGGAGAGGCGATGACCCCTGGCAACCCAGGCTGGTATCGAATTAAATAAAATGTTTGAACGCCCAGCTGGCTGCGCGTAGAGTGGCAGCAGGCCGGGCCAGCGGCGCTCAGGTGCCCAGCGGAGGGTCAGGCACTCAAGGCGCGCAGCTGGCCGCCACCTCGGCCCCTGCCTCCGCCCCGGGGTACCTCTGGCCGGTCCGGCTGGCTCGGGTCGCTGCCGCCGCAGCGGAACCCGGCTCCGGACCCGGATCGCAGCGTCCAGCGCGCGGCCCGCGAGACGCCTCCGGTTACCCTGGGGCCGTCGTCCCGCGTCCCATCGGAGCGCGCGGGGACAGCGCTATGAACTGAGGTGCCCGGCGACGGGTCGTCGGATATCATTGACAGAACCTTCCTTTCAAGGTGCTTTATGCCTGCCCTCTGCACGTGCGGAGGACACGGTGACCAACGCAAAAAACTGAGCCGTGCCTCCAGACCCGCGCGCCCCTCTGTTGGGCATCTGTCGTGTTTCTGTTCCCCGAAAGTGGTGACCGAAAAGTAAATAAACGGGTGAGAGGTGGTAAAAACCTGGCAGGATTTCCGCTCGTCCTGTCGCGAACTACATATCCCAGGGAACCCGGGGCGCCGGGACGCGCGTCCACCCCGCCATCCACTAGGAGAAGCCTTTACTGAGCCTGGCGCGACGCACGGGCCAATCCCTTCGCCCTACACCTTGGCTGTAACCTGAGACGGATTCGCTCCCAAAGGATGCACGGTTGGCAGCAGCAGCTCAAGCTCATCATTGTCCCAAGAAAGAGGAGCAGCGCGGTTCTTGGCCGGGTCGGCAGAACGCCTGGCGACCCTCACCTGCGCGCGCCGCGGCACCGGCTGTGATTGTCCCGGGGCCGCGGAGACTCGCGCGCCCGTCCTGCACGCCGGGCGGCACCCTTTGCAGTCGCGTTAGCTGCCGCGATCCTCCGGCGCGCCCCTGCCGAAGAAACCTCGGCTGCTTCTGTGCGCCTCTTACGCTTCATTTATCCGTGGATCATTTCCAGAGTCCGTCTTGTAAATGTTTAGCATTTTGCTGCTTTATTGCTTCTTCCTGGGGACAGTTCCAGCACTCGCCGAGACCGGCAGAGAAAGGCAGCTGAGCCCGGAGAAGAGCGAAATATGGGGACCCGGGCTAAAAGCACACGTCGTCCTTCCCGCCCGTTATTTCTATATTCAGGCGGTGGATACATCAGGGAGTAAGTAAGTCGAGAAATGGCTTCTTACCTATTTCGGATGGCGGTTAAATCTGTTTCTCCCTTCAAGTTTTTTCTTTCCAATAACTCGTTTCTCTACAGCAGTTTAAATTCCAGGATATTGGGGTACCAGTTTTTCTCTGTAGGTGTAGAAATAGTTCCGAATTATAATATATGCAGTATAATGGATTGTGTATAACATATAAGATAATCTCCTAGCAATTTTGATTGGGATTCCCACATTATCAGGACAAGACAAAGTCCCTCCACTTTTCTAGAAATAACTATTTCTAACTACTTTTCGCTTATATAAGCTGTTACAAGGAATGTAAACCTAGTTGTTAGAGACTTGATGGGCTTCATCTTTCCCTGGTGTGGCCCTCAATTTTCAAGGAGACGTCTGCAGGTAAGCATGTTTTCAAAGTGAAAAAGACAAATGAAGTACTATTTGAAACTTTAAAGTTTGGAAGGAAATTATCAAAGAATGAATCTCCTATGTGATTGGAGCAAATATTTCATTCCAATGAATTTAATACTTAACATCATACTTAAAACTTGGTTTCATGTTTCATATACTTCTGAAATGATTGTCTGTTATTGGTGGATGCTGACCGTGTGTATTTTGTACAGAAAAAAAAATTGTAATTAATAGTTGTCAAATCAATGAAAAGGCAGGTTGTAAATTTTGTCATTTGGCAAAAGATTATACACTCCCTGCTACTTTGCTTTGCCCCATGGTTGAGCATGATTTTTTATCTTTTTTTTTAAGACAGGATTTCACTTCTGAGGCCAGTCTAGAGTGCAGTGGTGCAATCACAGCTCACTGTACCCTTGACCTCCCAGGCTCAAGCTATCCTCCCACTTCAGCCTCTTGAGTAGCTGGGACTAAAGGCATATGCCACCTCACCTAGTTATTTATTTATTTATTTATTACTATTATTATTATTATTATTATTTTTTGTAGAGACAGGCTCTTGTTGCCTAGGCTGATCTTGAACTCCTGGCCTCAAGCAATCTTCCCACCTTGGCCTCCCAAAGTGCTGGGATAGTAGGCATGGGCCACAGTGCCAGCCCTGAGCGTGATTTATAATACTGATATTGTAAGGAATTGTTGGCAGAAATTTTTCAAAATAAGATCTTTATTTTTGGGAGCACCATTTGATGGCAAATATCCAGATGTGATGGCATGAAATAAATAGGTTGGTAAGAATATTTTTCTATATGGAATGCATGAGTATGTTCTATGCTTACATAGATTAGTAGTCTTAACATATTCCATTGTGATTGTTTAATGAAACTGTTTCATGTTATCTTGGCCATTGTCATCCTCTTTTTTTTTTTTTAATCTCTGATCCAACATATTCATTCTGGTACTAAAAGCATAAGAGAAAAGAAGCAATCATATGTTAGAGGAAGAATGTGGAGGAGAATTACCAAGTTTCCAGACTGAAGATAACCTTTGTTTGTTTGTTCCTTAAAATAATCTGTATATCTTCCCCATTACTCTTTTCATCACAGATTCACATCTTCTCCAGGCGAAAAAGTCTTTCAGGTGAAAGTCTCAGCCCCAGAGGAGCAATTCACTAGAGTTGGAGTCCAGGTTTTAGACCGAAAGGATGGATCTTTCATAGTAAGATACAGAATGTATGCAAGCTACAAAAATCTGAAGGTGGAAGTTACATTCCAAGGTCAACATGTGGCCAAATCCCCATATATGTTAAAAGGTAATTTGGAACTAATTTTATAACCTTGACCTCCCAGGCTCAAGCTATCCTCTCACCGTTCAAATCCCAGCAGTATTTGAAAAAAATAATGTTATTCCATCAACAAAAATAACTTAGTATTTTGTGTGTGTGTGTGTGTGTGTGTGTGTGTGTGTGTGTGTGTGTAACTGAAAGAAAAAAAATAAAGGCTTTCTACTTGAAAGCTAAGTTATGAGTCCTGGTAAAAAGACATTCAAGATTTGAAGGGAAATTCAAATTTGCCAAAGAGCAAGGAACATATTAATAGAGAATTTACTCCGCGAGGACATACATTAATCAAGCTGTGTGCATGGTCATATATGATACCTTCTTAATTGGAAATATATGGAATTGAATAATTACTTTTGTTTCTTTTTGTTGCTATTGTTGTTCTTGAGACAGGATCTCACTCTGTTGCCCAGGCTAGAGTGCAGTGGTGCAGGATCAGCTTACTGCAGCTCAACCTCCTGGGTTCAAGGAATCCTCCCACCTCAGCCACATGAGTAGCTGAGACTATAGGTGCTCACCACCATGCCCCACTAATTTTTGTATTTTTTGTAGAGACAGGGTTTTGCTGCGTAACTCAAGCTGGTCTTGAACCCCTGAGCTCAAACGATCTGCCCTCGGCCTCCCAAAGTACTGGGATTATGGGCATGAGCCACTGTACCCAGCTACGTTTGCTTCTTACCAATTCTTAAAAAATAAATAAATAAATAAGGAAGAAAAAGAATAGCAATTCCTTGTTTATTTTCACTGTTATTGATGATTTACTTATTGAGAAAAGTACCTTAGACGCTTTAAGAACCTATTTGTATAATTGACCATCAGAATGTTAAAGCATATCACTTTTGTCTTTCATTAAAATAAGTATACTCCTCTGATAACCTTTTACCAGTATTTGGTTATTCTTCAGTCTATAAAACATAAAGAATAATGAACTGTAATATATACTGTAGATATAAACCAAGTATCTATTGGCTCTCTTTTTTTTTTTTTTGAAACAGTGTCTTGGTCTGTTGCCTAAGCTGAAGTGCAGTGGCACAATCTCGGCTCACTGCAACCTTCACCTCCTAGGTTCAAGCTATTCTCATGCCTCAGCCTCCCGAGTAGCTGAGACTTCAGGCATGTACCACCACACCTGGCTATACTTTTTTTTTTTTTGAGTTAGAATAGCTCTATCACCCGGGCTGGAGGGCAGTGGCACAATCTCAGCTCACTATAGCCTCCGCCTCCTGGGTTCCAGCAATTCTCCTGCCTCAGCCTCCTGGGTAGCTGGGATTACAGACGCATGCTACCACACCTGGCTAATTTTTGTATTTTTAGTAGAGATGAGGTTTCAGCATGTTGGCCAGGCTGGTCTCAAATTCCCGACCTCGGGTGATCCACCCACCTCGGCCTCCCAAAGTGTTGTGATTACAGGCATGAGCCACCACACCTAGCACTTTTTTTTTGTATTTTTAGTAGAGATGGGATTTCAACATGTTGGCCAGGCTGGTCTCAAACTCCTGACCTCAAGTGATCCGCCCAGGGTGCTGGTATTACAGACTTGAGCCACTTCGGCATGGCTATCTGCTTTCTTTTGAACTCATGCAAAGTCGACCTTATTATGAAAATATCACAAGACTTTACTGTGAAGAATTGTCAGAACAGAAGGCTGACTTACTTCCAGTGCCCCCAGTGTAGTAAAAATGTGTTACTATTTTTTTTTTTTTTTTTTTTTGAGACTGTCTCACTGTCTTACCCAGCGTGGAGTGGTGCAAATGTGGCTCACTATACCTTCAACCTCCTGGGCTCAAGTGATCTTCAACCTCCCAAGTAGCTGGAACCACAGCTGCCTGCCACTGCTCCCATCTAATTTTTTATTTTTTGTAGAGACAGGGTCTCCCTATGTTGCCCAAGCTGGTCCCAAACTCCTGGGCTCAGGCTTTCCTCCCACCTCGGCTTCGCAAAGTGCTGGGATTACAAGTGTGAGCCAACCTGGCTGGCCTGTGTTTCTTTTAAAATGTGTTTTCAATGAAAATGCTCTTATGTAACTAGGCAAAACTCATGAAGCCACGTTATGGATATTTGTTACAAGTTTCAAATGCTGAGTAAAATTATCTCTGTTGTACTTTGTTGTTCTTTTGTAAATAGGGCCAGTTTACCATGAGAATTGTGACTGTCCTTTGCAAGATAGTACAGCCTGGCTACGGGGGATGAACTGCCCGGAAACC